TAGGAATAGTCACTTGAAACATTTTACTCTTTTAACATAACAACAGTAGCAATAGCAATTTAATTATCTCCATTTAACTGTAAACACGGCTGTGGGCGGAGAGGTTTAAGTCTTTAATTAAAAGAAATGATGAAGAAAATTCTATTTTTAATTTAAAACTTGGATTTTGCAAATGAGAGGAGGCTTCTACTCCCACACTCTTTTCTGTTAAGAGGTGCCTGCTGTTCTCAGTTTTAAATACACTTCCAATAGTAGTTTTCACTCGTCGGCTGGGTTGGCTTTGTTAGTTCCTTTGTGGATCGTGAATACTTGGATCAGGTCTCCTCGCGGTCTCCCCTGTTCTGCACTAAAAAAGATTTAATTCTTTCAGCCTGTCGGTGCATTCCTTTAATCCCAGGAATGTATCGGGTTGCTCTTCCCCGGTGTTTTGTTGTTCAAGAGCAGCAGTATTGTGGGGGGGAGCTGGTTTTCGGGAGACTGCACTGAGATCCAGATCAGTCCTGGTCTTTTTTTGCATATAGGAAGGATCCGGCTGCTCCTCCTGCACTTGGTGCAGACCTGTGCCAGGGAAATTGCTGCAGGGGAACGTAGTGTTTCCTGCACTCCGGCAGGCAGTGCTGCAGACACCCTGAGCTTTCCGCTGTGCTGCATCGCGGCCATTCCTGCAGCCAGCGCTGAAAGCGCCGTTTCCATGGGCAAACCTTCAGTGCCTTTCCCTTTGCTGCGAAAGGCATTACGTCATCTCCCGGCAGCAGCAGGGTGGGAGGAGGGATGGGGGGAAGAGCCCGAGTTCAAATGTGCTGCTGCTGCTCTGCTTCTCTGCGGGAGTGAATAAAGAGTCAAAAACGAAAAGCCCTTTCAGATTGCAGAGCAGATTCCCCCCCAGTGGATTAAACCCCCTTTCCCTGCCAAAAAACGCAATTCCAGCCAGATTTAAAAAAAAAATAAATAATTGAAGGCGAGAGGGAGCGGTGGTGTGCGAACTAATCTTCGCAGTGTGTTGGGATAGCAGGCCGCTGGGCGCTGGCTGTGTGGACACTGGGCTCTGGCTGTTTCTGTGGCCTGTGGTCTGTCGGACAATGGAGCCAGCATATGGCCATGGTGGTGCTGGGGGGGAGGGGGGAGGTTGGCGTCGCTCCCCTGCAAATTAATTTATCTTGGCATCTGTACAATGAGGGCTCTGTGACTGGCTGCTCCGAGCAGGAACTGGATATTTGTCCTTTGGAGATTTGGAGAGAGAGCTGGAGAGCTGCCCCAGTGAACCCTAGGATATTTGTGCAAATTTAACACCACTCAGGAGCCTTTCTTAGGAGGCACAGCTTGTTCTAAAGAGACTTGGCGCGTCAAAATAATCACCTCCCCTCCCGCAAACCAGGGCATTTGTGCAAACAGCTCCGTGCTGGGTGTTAAAATGCAACAGATGCCTTGTGCATGAGCGTCTCCGTTAGTCTCTGTTGTGTTTGTGTCTTTTATTTCATGCTTGGTGTTTTGTTTTTGAGAAGACGGCTCATTTCAGTGTTTTGCTGACACTAGATGCCGCCAGTGCCGCACGTTTAAAATGTTGTTTTCGCTTTCAAAACAAAATGCTATCCAGTATCAGGTGAGAAATAACTCATTTCTGGCCAGGCGGTCTATAATTAAGCTTCTGATGCAAAGTTGTTCTGTAGAATAATTGCTCTCAACTGCACTGTATCTCCAGTGCATTTGATTGACTGTTCAAATGCACAGGTCTTGTCACTGATGGAGGAGGCAAAGGAGTAGGGGGGTAGACCACCTACAGTCTCCTCTACAGCAGCTGTCTGCAACTTGCATAGCAGTTACGCAAGTATTCAGACTATAGATACTAGTATGTATTTATTGTCTCACAGAGGTGGCACTGCATTATTATAGATACAGCATTGTCTTGTGTGCCACAAAGTTGCTCTTATTTACTTTATTGTACTTTTAACTGTTTTCCATATAGAGACGGGAGAAATGAACTATATCTCTAGAGAAATGATCCAAGTATCTAAAATTCTAAGGGGTACAGAAATTAATCAAGAAGAATGATCTAATCCTGGTCCCAGATTTCTTTTGCACCAGCAAAACGGAATCTAGCCACACCCCTGGCTGTAAGAATAGTTACAGCAGTTCATTAGTGAACACAGCTGAGCGTGATAGAGGAGAATCTCAGTCTTGTAAAATAGATTGCTTAGCAGCAGCTGGACCCGCGAACAAAACGTGGTAGGCTTGGGAATCGTCTTTGAGAAGGTGCCTGTGAAGGAAGGGGATGTTTTGAGGGGTAGGGAGAGAAACCCCTCTGGTTCAGTGCCTGTGGAGGCAATGACTACACAGTTGTTGGAACTGAACTCCATTTCCCATGAGTCTGTGTTCAGCGAGGGGGAGGGGGCGGAACTCTCTTGAGCCTGCATCGCCATGGGGCCACTGTGTGACACAGGGGTGGTCTCTGCTGGAATCCTGCTTCTAGCGGAGATGCAGGCACCTGGTTCCCAGTGCACTGCCATATTTGGTCGTGTCCTGACCGCCCTGCGCCTGGTCTGTGATCACAGTGCTTCCGTTTCTCCTTATAAGGCCGCGCTTCTCCTGATTCTGCCATCGGCACTGGGACAAACATCCGCACGTCTGGGGGGGTGAAAAAAAAGGCTTCCCACATCTTAATGAATTGATTGGGATTAAAAGTTTCCAGCTTTTATTAGGGGGGTGCACTGTTCTGTCGCGAAGCTTGTAGCTCGTCCTCCTGGCCCCGAGGAGAGGAGCACGTCCATCTCCGAGCCCCTTCTTGGTCTTTGTCTTGTTCTCCTCGATTTTGCTCCTGTCTGAAGTTCATGTTTGGTGGAGGAAGTGTTTTTTTGAGTGCCGGAGTATTTTTTGTTTTTAAAGCAGAACAAACGAAAGTAAAAAGCTGGGCTCAAAACAGTTGTGAAAGGGTCGTTTCGGTACAAGCCAACAGAAGTATGTGGAGTATTTGATAATAGCGTGTCCTGTTTACTTAGTCCCTCTTCGGTTTATAACTAGAGTTCAGCAACCCTGCTATCCCTTCCAAAAGTCTGCCCCTCACTCCCTCTCTCTCCAAAAGAAATATAAAGCTCAGTGATTTGGAGAAATCCCCTTCAGAATATTCCACGAAAACAGAGCTCACTGGCCAGCAGGAAGGGGAGACAAGTGCCTAGTGGAATTCTCCTCAGTGGAATTCTTCTTCTGCTTAGCATCTGGTCTCTCCAAGGCCCTGTTTCAGCAGGAGAATGAGCTGCAGGGGGCTCTCTTGCCCCAAGCCCTTGTGAGAGATACAGAAATGACCTGCAGCACCTTTTGGCCTTGAGGCCAGATTGGTTAAGTGTTGAAGGCGGGAGACTGTCCATGTGATGCCCGATGCTGGGTGAGAGAGAGAGGGGGGGTTAATAATGAAAATGTGGGAAACTTCAATTCTGAAGCAGTATGTGTTTTTTAAACGGGTTTGATGTCTCTGTAAGCGACGTGAGGGTGAGGCCGACTGCACATCAGCAGTTTTGGATAGAATCGACATGCCTAGACTCACGATAGTGGTCAGACAGTACAGTCCTCCACAGGGAGACTCCCACAGCTGACAGGCACGGTCCTGTACAAGCCTGCTCCTCCAGCTGCATCTCTGCCCTCGGCTGAGGGAGTTCTGCCTGCTGTGTGGGAATTGGCAGGTTTTTTTGTGAAGATTGCTAGGTTTCCCGAGAGATAGAGCACACCACAACTGTTTTGTTGTCTTGTTTGCCTAAGAAAAATATGCTAAATGAAAATGCAGAGTTTTTGGTTTCTGCGTTGGGTTAGCTGGAAGAGCTCGACGTCTGTGAAAACCAGGGATCAAAGCGAGCGGAGGTGTCCCGTTGGGGCTCGTCCATGTGTTTGCCGTGTGCGGCCCTGATGGAGTGGGAGATGCAGCTGATGGCCTGGTGTTGGCACAGCTCAAGTCCTCCGAGTCTCTGAGCCCTCAGCCCACGGCCAGCAGCTCCCAGCGTTCGGCGGCTCAACACACTCATTTCCTGTGCCTCTCCCTCGCTCGCGTTGCCATAATTAGGAGGGAGCGTGTAATGAACCTTGTTTTCCTGCCGGCTCAGGGCGCCTACGCACTCCTTAATTAGCCACTAACGTGCGTAATGGAGCTGAGCGATTGAGTGTCCGTGCTCGTCATGTAGTCGCGAGCAGCTGTCACTACCGCTACAACTTCTTGTCCCCTCTGGACAGCGGGGAGACGGCTCCGGCTGAGACTGCGGCCCGGCTGGGGAGCTGCGCAATCCCACGGTGCCTTGCCTCTCCGACTGGGGCAGGGGGTGTGGGAGAGCGGAGGTCGCGCGGCCCAGATCCGTAAAGGTGCTGGATATCAGCAACGGAGACGGCCAAGACTCTGCTCCAAAGCGACCCTTAACGAAAGGCCCGAGCAGACGTCGCAAGCGGGGCTCCCAGGAGGCATGTCCCATGGCGACTGGCAGTGCCGGTGGGCGTGTCGGGGGACTGCGCCCGCAGGGCTCGGTCTCCCCCCCAGCAGGTGCCCGAGTCCCTGGCGTTATCTGGAGAGAACGGGCGCCTCCAGATTTGGCGAGCATATGGCAAAACATCGACTGACTATTGCGGATTCCGCAAGATCTTGTTCAGGACTTTACCGCCATGACAACTCGTTGCCTGGAATTTGGTTCAGCAAGCTCGGACAATTAAAGACGTATAACACAAAGACGCCACATAAGACCACTAACAGAATGCATCCACCCAGCACAGAAAAGGAAGAAAAGCGACAGCATTCTTCCTCACCTCGGTGGTCCTATGCCCTTCATCCTCTCTGCTCGGGTTCGTGGGAACGCTACAGAGCTGTTCCAGCGATTCTGCAAGTCGAAACTGCCCCTGTGTCTCTGGGGTCCAGTTGCCTCCTGGCAGACTGAGGCCTTCCCTGGTGTCCTTTGTCTGAGCGCGCTTACCGCAGTCTGCCTCCTGTCTCTGACCGGGCGTCGCGCTCCCTGCCTCTCCCCTCTGCTCCTCAGATTAAGAAGCAGCAGCAGGATGTGATGGGGTTCCTGGCAGCCAATAAGATCGAGTTTGAGGAGTGCGACATCGCCGCCAACGAGGACAACAGGAAGTGGATGAGGGAGAATGTTCCGGAGAGCTTCCGACCCGCCACTGGGAACCCCCTGCCCCCCCAGATCTTCAACGAGGAGCGATACTGTGGGGTGAGCTGCAGGTGTCGGGGAAGGGAGGAGGACTCCCAGTGCGTAGCAACCTGCGCCATTCCAGGTTTTTCCAGCAGCCAGGGCCTAATATGTCAACCCGCAGCAGGTGCTGGATAATGTGTATAGGTCAAATTGCTGTATATGTTTATATTTTGTGTATGCAGTGTATGGGGGAAAAAGGCATTTTTAGTAAAACCTGAGAGGGATGATGCTGTCAAGGATTCTAATTCTGTTCTGAATACTGGTGAATCACTCTAAACACCCAGTAACACAGCCAGAAACCAGGATTT